TTTTTTTTTTTTTTTTGAAGAGACTAACAACCTCTCCTAACTAAAAGACATTTAATGAGAATTGTCACGGTAATCTGAATTTGTCAGACAGAAATAGTAAAAAGTTATGTTTTTTTTTTACTTTGAATTTTTAAGAACCATAGACCCGTCTGTTTGTTTCGATGTTCTTTCTATTCATTTGATAGCAACAAAATCAATATTTAATTTTTTGCGCGCTACAAAGTTGTAAAATGATTCACTTGTAAACATAAGGAAATTCAAATTTATCAGCAAAGAAATTCGCTTTCAAGTGACAAATATTAAGTAAGCATGAAAATGGAGTAAGCAAAGAGAAAAGACTTTTTGTTAGAACAAACAGTCAACAGCGATAACGGTGTGTAACTTCTGAAATACGTAAAAAATAATTTAAATAAGGTTTTTTGACATATGCTACAAAATATTCCAGCTACAGTGAAATACTTCTTGAACCGCAGCTGATAAATGGCCGGTTCTCCGGTTGGTCAGTTTAGAATCTCAAAAACAATGTACACGATGTCATCATCGGTCGATGTAAACAAATCGGTTTTTGAGCTGTTTTCTCTTTTTTATTTTTCTAATTTTTTTATGCATTTAATCTTGTGGACTTCAACAGTTAACAACTAGGAGAAAAAAAAAGAGTTAAAAAGAATCTAGTCTCTTTCTGATAAGCATAACACGGTAGAAGATGAAGTTTAAACAAGGCAAACAAAAAAAGAAAGAAATACAGCTATTTTGATTGGGAAACAACGATTAAATCATAGAAGCAGTTTGTTTCTCGTTTTCTGCTTCCAACAGGGGCGTTTTTGTTTAGTTAACAAAAATGTTAGATATAGTTGCATTTTAGAGCGCCATACAGTTTCCTGCTTTAATTTCTTTTCTTTTTTTTTTTTTTTTCATCTGTTGTTTTTCTTTTAAAAAACTTTAAAGCGATTTATGCTGACGATTTGAAGGCTAAAAAAAGCATTGTACGACGTCCCTATTCAAATACCGTTTCGTTTAATGAATCCTGAGTTCTGCAGAACTGCAATCGCTTCATCAAAAGTTTGCTGGATTCCTTTAGGCAAAGGAATACTAAAAGTTTTTAAACTGGGTTGAGACCATTACCTGGAACTTAAAAAGTTTTCTGAAAAAGTCTGGCTTCCCTGAACACTGCTTTTCAAATTTATCAGACTATTCACTGCATAACTGAAGAATTGGTTTAGAGAACTGTTGCTTTTAAAAGACCGTCAGATAAAATTTTGCTGCTACGTATGACTCAAGGCATTAGGAAATAGTTTTTACTTTGTTTTCAGACGAGCTAAACAAATATTTTGGTAAATTGGACGACTGGCACCCATATGAGGAATGTTTATTATGTTCAAAGTCCTGTTTGATGGAGAACAAACGTAGTTGTGTGGTCTGTATTACTTTGCTATTGAAATCAAATTGACAATTCTTACAAAAAAAAAAAAAATATATATATATATATAAAATAAAATGTTTTTTTGCCTATCGTTATTATAGTGGAAAGAAGAAATTTCATGTGATGTTTTTTGCCTGTAAGTAATGGCTCTTTATACTGAAACAGTATTAAAATTGTTGTACAGCCTTTTTAGAGGCATAAGTATATAACAACATAAATCAACAAAGATATGGATATATATGTATATTTATTTATCTATTTATTGTTTTATATTGCTTTACGAATGAGGTCTTGAATGACAGAAATTGTTCAGTTATTGTTACCATATGCGAAAACTTTAGGTTATGTAATGCAGTTAACTCTAGTGTAAAATTTCTCTCTAAATTCCAATGTTTTTTTTATCAAAAATTTGTGAAGATAAAACGAAACAGTCTTTAGTAGGCAGTAAGACGAAACTGTAGTCATAAAGTTCAAAATGATGTTTTTCAAAAGAATAGCTAAAATTTCTCGAACCTCTTGGTGATTTTAAGTGATTTTTTAAATCACTTTAGAACCATTATCTAAAGGACTTTTTGAATTAGAGTATAAAACAGCTGTCACCAAATTTTTTCTTTTATTCAAAATTTTATTAAAAATTTAAAGTTAAAAAACTGTTTTTCAGGTACGTTTGAACACCATAAAAAAAGTTCCTATTGCTTCAAAGACTCAGGTCGGTGAGTCTAGCAGAAACGGTTTTGTAGCAGGCACTATCAAGAAACCTAAGGAAGACGAAAACGCCTCTGACTTACCGCTGATGTTATCATCATCAATATTTCAAAAAGGTAATTTGTTAATTTCGATAATTACAGGTATTTGCTTTTTTAAGTTACCTGTTTAAATTTATCTTTATCGTTTATCAGCATTATTATTAGTAATTCGTGTCAGCTATGCTATGAGGATGATCACTATCAATAAAAATGGCCGTTAAATGTGAGAGAGAATTTTTTTAAAGTTTCTAATCACAACTTTATTGAAATGTTTCAACCACAGATAGTCTTCCCTTGTTTCTTCAGCGGTACCTTGTAATTCCAAATATGCTCTGCTGTTTAACGAACAACGTACATTTAAGTCAAAAAAATTAGCGTAATGTAGTACCACGTTCTAACTGAAATATGTGTCAAACAATTACATCGGCTAACAGGGGAAAATACACTTTGATAGCATATTACCGTAGATAATTCTTCTGAACAGGTAAATCACCGAATAGACATTTCTCTGTTTCTCTCCAAAGTTTGGGATCAAGCTTTTCACAAATATTTTTTTATTTTTCTCTTTAATACCAATAACTTCGTAATTGCTAAACTTCTCATTCATTCTGATTTAGTCTGTAAATGTAATTGATAACCTAAATTTCCAATTCTATACGGCAGTACGCCAGATAAAACAGACAGAGCGTATCAACAGTTCATTACGTTTGTTTCGCTTATTAAAATTCCTCAGTATCGTGAGACATACTTTTCATTTCAAAATTAATAAGTGAATGAGTGAGTGAATGAATCAACGAATGAATGAATGAATGAGCAAATGAGTGAATGAATAAACGAATGAATGGATAAATGAGTGAATGAATGATTGAGTGGATTATTAATGAGTAAATGAACGAATGAGTGGATGAATGATTAAGTGAATTGAATGAATGAGTAGATAAATGATTGAGTGAATGAATGAATGAATGAATGAATGAGTGAATAAATGGATAAATGAGTGAATGAATGAATAAGTGGATGAATTAATGAGTGAATGAATCGATTAGTGAATGAATAAATGAATAAATAAATGAATGAATGAATAAATGAATAAATGAGTGAATATCGTATGACTGCACTTAACCGGTGGTCACAAAATCCTAAAGAGAAAGAGCTGATACGAAAATTTGATAAGAATTGACGGTATAAACCAAAATTTTGTTTCAAACTAAAAGCGTTTTGCTTTTTTGTGTTACGTCTTATTTTTAAGACATTCGTTTCGCACGAGCACATTTCTTCTGCTTCAGCTTCTTTACGATTAAGCATTCTTTGTTTTGAAGGCAATGCTTTAAAAAACTTTTTCGCATAAAAACCCTATTTAACTGTCAGTTCTATGATGCACTTTTTTCCTTCCTTTTAGGCATAATTTTTTGTTTTTCTATTCTCTATCTTGAGGCAGGGAAAAGAAAGTTGTATGGAGGACACTTTTCTGTCGACAAAAACGCATGTTGCAGAAAAAGCGTAAAGATATGAAGTGGAAAAAGTTTGAAATCTGACCACACATGGAAACTGTTGTAATTTTTTGCTATTCTTATTACCAATATTTGTTCTGATTGCCGATGCGAACAATGTATTTGACACCTCTCTAATGACGAGTTTTTATTATATGTCATTATCGGTTTAATGTTTCTCCACTTCTTTTGAGCTTTTAGTTTTCACTGCAAATATGAGTTGATTAAGGTCTTGAAAGTACAAGAAAGCGATTGTTCTACAGATTAAGAGATGTAAAAAAACAAAGAAAAAGGCCTGTTAGGCAGTCTTACAGATTTTGCTCAGGAATATGTTTAAAAGTGTAACAACGTCATATCCAACGAAGCAACTCAGTTATACTGACGATGAAAACATTTAGTATTAGAAAACTTTTTAGTGGACAGTCATTAATATCTCGATTTATCGCAACAATAAAAAAAATGATCTTTTTTTCCAGATAACGTTTTCTCCGGTATTTTAATCGGTTCAAGTTGCTCTTTTGTTCGAAAAAAAAAAACCATTTACTTGCTTACCTTTGTCAGCATGTACTCCTTCTTTTATCCAGCTTATTTTGAGAGACATTTTACCACTTATTTCTGGGGGTTGGTAAATACAGGTTGCTCCATTTGGCTGGGTTGAGTCTTGCCACGAGCCGTGCCAACAAAAATTTTGCCGTACAATTAATAAAGTGATTCAAATTCAGGTGAAAATATAACCAATTCGCTACTCGGAAATATTTTACAGTGGAGCATTCCTGATATTACGCAACCTTCCTTAATGGCAGCTCAACGACTTGCATCAGGTGTGTTAAGCTACTGTGTCTTCTAGAAAAGTAGAACCAACAAATTCAGTAACTTCTTGATTTGATGCTGTAACTTTTCTGTTTTCTTCTGCTTAAGAGCTACACTGTAGAGAATAAACGATACGTCATTACTGATAAGTTTCTAGGCGAGCTTCTTCTTCGGGAATGGTATGCAGCGAATCAAGGATTTTGTACGACTCTGTGTAAAGATAATTCTGAAGAGACCATAAACAAAATATCAAGCAGAGCTTTAGCGTCCGTTTCAAATGGAACAACAAATCTATTAAATTCATCTATTTCTAGTTATGCGTTTGGTTCAAATATCGCTAATGGTAGATCAGAATATTTAAAAAACAATAATTTCGATGGTACAGGTAAAAGTTCTCGTTTCTTTGTTTATAAGAACCGCTAGTAAAGTAAAACTGAATTATCGAATTTATATGCTTTTGCTTGTCACGCGTTAGATTTCTTACAGAAAAACGGTGATTGCATTTGGTTATGGAAAACATATAATATCTGTAGCAACTGTAATAACTGATTCCTAAAAATTGACTTGAAGAAATTGTTTCTAGAGCAGGCAAGACCACTCTGCATGACTGGCCTGTCAGATACCGTTTTTCCAATTGAGCAGGACGAACCATTGGATTTAAGCTCGAAGACGACATTGCAGATGGCAACGAGAAATGCCTTAGCAGCACGAAGAGTTCGTGATTTTGATAGCCTGGAAGTCTCCAGCAGCAATGTCGCTTCATCATCAGATGCTCCTCCAACATCATTTTCTACGTCATTTGTGTAAAAATAGCTTTTATCAATCGAACAATTTCTAAGTGACTTTAATTTCCGTCAAGAGATTTTAAGAAGTTAAAAGTTATTCGTATAAATTGCATTACACCTGAGAGACAGTTTCAGTGGGGAAAATAAAATTGCTGCGGCATTGCTGGCAAACAGTCTTAGGAAATCAACACGGAAATCAACCACGAAGCGTAGTTATAGCCAAGCGGATTTGGATGCTGCTGTCAAGGATATTCGTAGTGGTCTATTGGGGACTCGACGAGCGAGCGTGGTTTATGGAATTCCTAGGTGATACCTGTCATTTATTTAAAAGATTTTTTCTTTTCAAATTTAATGATACTTTTTGTGCAGTGATTTAATGGAACTTACTGGTTCTTAAGACCAAGGTTTACAGCTTTTAATTTTGAATTAATTCTGATAGTCTTTGAAGTAATGATATCATTAGGCGCGGTTGTCATTTATGGTCTTCAAGTTTATACAATGAAAAA